CAATGAAAAAAGGGAGAAAAACAAACAAATATGGAGTCATAGTAACACAATAAATTGAAGTCAATACAAAACATCTTTTGCGGTGAAGAAAGTTGGCATCTGGTGGATCTAGTCGTTGTTTTATCCAATAAACCTGCTTCCATACTTCGTGACCAGCGTCTCCGGATTGAAAGCGTTGATAAAGAAACGACACACGAAAGGCTCGCCTTCGACGCTCTTATCATCACGTGATACCAAGATGTCTTTAAAGAAGGAGACGGGTATTTTCTTACTTTAATTCAGGCCATCGTTTTTATTCCAGCTTTTATTCTGTTTGCCTCATTTATTTATGTTTAAATGTTCTGTCTGCACGAATATTATTGAATAAAAATTTGGATTTTTATATTCATAATCTTCTGCTTCTACAGCCTTACACCTGGTTATAAAATGACACTATGTTGTCCAAAATTAAGTTCCGCTTTTGTCGCTAGATGGAATTAGATGGTTGGTTAATGGATTTTCTTTAACGGCATATCAACACCTGTAGGGGTTATTTAATGCCGAAATCAGAATATTTTGTACGCAATTTTAGTTGAAATGTCTTGTTGGTCATTTTGCTATAAAATGTATTGTTAGTAATTTTACTATAAATATATATCGTTGGTAATCTTTTTATATGTTTACTATTTGCCCATATATGTGACCCTAACAGGTGCTACCACCCCGGGTTAGAGTGGACCTGAGAACAGGAGAAATTAAGAGATGCTCCGACGCTCCTAAAAAACTTCTAATCTCCCGATCAGAGGCCTGGATGTCGGATGTAGTTTATCGGCATATACCAGGATTTGATGGCATTAGAAGTAATTTCATTCAAAAATTAGTCTGTTTAATAAGTACATCATCATCATCATCATCGGTCCCATGGCTGGGTGTAGTCGTAGAGTCGCTGCGTAGTTAAGCTTTTGACCAGTTACATCCACATATCTGAGTTGAAAACCAGAGAAGAAAACATGGCAGAGCCCATCTCTCTCCAGGTCGAATCACAGCCGACGTTCACTAACTTGAGGGCTCGTCTTGCTCACGAACACATGGCCGGTGATTTCATCAGGGAAACCTTCTGTTTTCAGCCTAGTAAGCAATCTGATCAGTTGACCGGTTGACATCAACCCAGGAAGCAATCCGATTAGTTGACCAGTTGACTTCAACCTAGCAAACAATTCGACCAGTTGACTTCAGCCTAGGAAGCAATTTGACCAATTGAGCAGTTGAATTCAACATAAGAAGCAATGCGAGCAGTTGAATTCAGCCTAGGAAGCAATCTGATCAGTTGAACAGTTGACTTCAACCTAGGAAGCCATCCGATCAGTTGACCAATTGACTTCAGCTTAGGAAGCAATTCGACCAGTTGACTTCAGCCTAGAAAGCAATTTGACCAATTGAGAAGTTGACTTCAACATAGGAAGCAATACCAGCAGTTGAATTCAGCACAGGAAGCAATCCAATCAGTTGACCAGTTGATTTCAACCTAGGAAGCCATCCGATCAGTTGACTAATTGACTTCAGCTGAGGAAGCAATTTGACCAGTTGACTTCAGCCTAGAAAGCAATTTGACCAATTGACCATTTGACTTCAACATAGGAAGCAATCCGACCAAGTTGACTTCAACCTAGGAAGCAATCCGACCAGTTGACTTCAGCCTAGGAAGCAATTTGACCTGCTGACTTCAACCTAGGAAACAATCCGATCTGTTGAGCAGTTGACTTCTACCTAGGAAGCAATTTGACCAATTGGCCATTTGACTTCAACCTAGGAAGCAACCCGACCAATTGACTTGAGCCTAGGAAGCAATCCATCCAGTTGAGCAATTTGCTTCTGCCTATGAAACAATCCTACTAGTTGACGTCAACCTAAAAAGCCATCACACTTGTTGACTTCAGCCGAGGAGATAATCCGACTAGTTGACCAGTTGACTTCATCCTTGGAAGCAATCCGACGAATCCGTGAAACCTGAATAACCAGAAAGAGATTCTAAATTAAATGTGTTTTGTATGAAATTCAAAATTTTATATAGAAAAACATTTTTTTAAATCCGTGGTCATAGGAAATAGGGATTTTTCTGTCATATGTGATTCATTATTCATACAGACCCAGATTTTTGTGTGTCATCGATCAAATCTACCTTACTTATTAGGTTTCAACATTAATTTTCATGCGTAGAACAAAATGATTCGTTTTATACTGTTGAAAATAACTTATTTTTATCATTATTTTGAAGCAAATCTGATCAAATTGGCTTGAAATTTGAAGGCGCCAATAAAGATTTACCACAAAGTTGATTTTGACGATATCTTTGGTATGTTTTACAAAAAAGACAACCTGCTCTAAGCACTCAACCAGGCGTGGCCATGGAAACTGTTTTAATTTTGTTTATTCTAACAACGAAAATGGAAAAATATGCAATACTTTTGGCATATGATTTTTATTTTAAAAATGCTAAACATAAAGCCCAAACGTGAAAAAGAAGATTTGGGCATTCTATGAAAACGGTAATGGTTATTTTCTCAGCGTGGCTTAGATGTGGCACAAGGCCGAAAGTATGAGGCACCTAATGAGGATCGAACTCACTTCTGTCGTAACAGTAACGAGACAAGCTTATTAACCATTACACCACACCTAAGTTCCCAAATGGAAAAGGTAATGTGAGTGATAGAATGTATCAAAAATGGTTTGCGAAATATCGTGTTGGAATGGTTTCGTCTACCTCATTGTTACTAGATATCTGTTGACCATACAAAAAGGTGTATCTGCCCTATGACATAATTTATAAAATTATATCATGGTATATATATATATATATATATATATATATATATGTCATGGGTATCATTTTACAAATTATTACGAGGTACGCAACGAGTGCTACTGGTACTATATATATATATATATAGCTAAACCTAGAGAGCCAGACAAACCTACCAAGGTTTCACCTAAGCGGAACGTCAGGGAAGGCTGGCTTACCTAACGATCCGCTTAGGTGAAACCTTGGTAGGTTTGTCTGGCTATCTAGGTTTAGCTAGGTCTGCTATACTTATTACTGTATCAAACACTTTATTTAGTTATTTTGCCTACTCGTATCGGGGTTTTTTCTTTGGGCTTTGGACTTGCATGCTAGATGATTATTTTTAGCTAACGTACATGTCCTTGGTTCTTTCTTTTTTTATACATTTTTTCCCTTTGGTATTGGCTTGTTTATTTGCAATTCAAAACACTGAAGGTTTTCCGAACGAGTATAATTTCTTATACTTATAAGATAACTACTACTAATATATATATATATATATATATATATATATATATATATATATATATATATATATATATATACAGATATTGACGGCCCCAAGGGTTCCGTCTACCCAATTTCACTCACAAGGCTTGGGTCAACCTGTGGTATAGTTTTCAGGTACTTTCAAAGGTTGGAAGTCTCCTTCCTGACAAATCGAACATGGTGAGATTCGAAACATGGTCTCGTGGCCAGAATGCGAACGTTCTAACTACTCGGCAACGTTCCCATATAATTCACAACTCATCGGGGCTGAGCGCTTAAGCATGCTGGCCTTGTTGAAATTGTTGATCATGCAAGATAACACGCTGTTTCCCAGAAACTGTAACTAAGGTCAGCTCAGCATAGTTACAGTATAAACCACAGGTGGGCTCTGTGGGTTTTGAATAAACACAAATGCGACTGAGCAAGCGTCTGCAATAGGGATTGGCTAGCCGCCCTAGTAGATGGGTATCCTCGAATACGAGTGGCCAGATATACATACATATATACACACACACACACACACACACATATATATATATATATATATATATATATATAATTATTTATTTAAAATATGATTCCAACTCGCGACATAAGAGGTCTTATGTTTCATATATATATATATATATATATATATATATATATATATATATATATATATTAAAATCCACATTACAACCAAAAACGTTTGCGGTACCTCTCTTCTTTTAATATACACACTTTTCTCTCGTCGGAACCAGTATATGCTCTTTTTATATATATATATATATATATATATATATATATATATATATATATATATATATGATAAGATAAAGAAAAAAAGCGAAACTTTTATCAATCTAACAAGTTTCACTTTTATTAAACCATCATCAAAAAATGAGATAAGAATGAATATTTTTTTCCATATCTTATTCTGGGATCAAACTTAAATAAATGTAACGCATGTTAGATTGATAAACGTTTCCTATTCGTTCATAGATTTTTTTTTTCCTAAATGAAGCACTTAGCGTAGTGATTTGTTGA